ACCCTTCAAGCCATCTTCAGTCATAACTGCCAAAAATCAGTGCAGAACCTCCTGTAGTTTCAGGTGAAAAATACATGAGACCTGCAGTGCGATTCCTAAAATAGAACTAAGATTTATATTTAATGAGATATTAAATTAAGGTTGCTATTGTCAAATAACTGTCAAGGCAAAAAGTACTTCTAGGCCACTACTCCCCAAACCTGGGTAAATTACCCCAAATTGGGTAAAAGTGGCTTTTCTTTGGGTGACGACACACAAACCCATTACCCATCACAACACGGGTTAAATTAAGTTGACTTAAGTAAAAGGGGCTTTCTGATAAGCAGTTTTGGGTAATGAAGGAAAAAGTTTGGAAAGCACTGTTCTAGGCAGTGTATCGCATTTGTTATTTATTGGTATATTTGTAGAACTACATTCTATAGCTGAACTTTTTTTTTGGTGCCTTTGAGCCAGTTTTTGACTCCTGGTGACTCCATGGACTAGTCCTGCAGTTTTCTTGGCACGATTTCAGAAGTGGTTTGCCCTTGCCTCCTTCCTAGGGCTGAGAGAGGGTGACTGGCCCAAGGTCACCCAGCTGGCTTCATGCCTAAGGCAAGACTAGAACTCAAAATCTCCCAGTTTCTAGCCTGATGCCTTAACTGTTACACCAAACTGACTCCCTGAACTATCATTAGGGATACCATACTTGGGCTGAAAATATCTGAACAACCACTAGATGGCAGCAAAGACATACAGGTAGTCCTTGCTTAACTTAACTCGTTCAGTGACCGATCAGTTACAATGGCGCTGAATGAGGGGTACGTATGATGGGCTGTCATAGTTGTGGCCATTGCAGCATCCTGTGGTCACGTGATTGCCATTCGTGACTTTCTCTGGCAGCTTCTGACAAGCATATTCAGTCAGGAAGCGGGCAGGAGGTCGCAAATGGTGATCACATGATTGTGGGATGCTGTGACCATGTGGGATTCACCTGGAGTGCTGATTCCGGACAGGTTCTTTGTGCTGGGTTCTGGTTTTCTGTATCTCTTTGCTGCCATCTAGTGGTTGTGATCACCTTGATTTCTGCATGCCATATATGATAATCCTACCATCATACAACCTAAGTTTTAACTTTTCTCTTATATTTTTTAATCATCCAGGTCCTATATTTTGTGAAAAGGAAGAGACTTAAAAGCCAACTTTCTCCAAAATGTCATACAGACAAGGTCTAGAGAAATACCGAGATCTGGATGAAGATCAGATCCTTGGAGCACTGACAGAAGAGGAAATTAAGATGCTAGAGGATGAGCTAGTAGACCTAGATCCAGATGTAAGTGCTTTAAAGAATAGTTTTTTAAAAGGTAGCATTGTTTTTTTTCAGTGACTTTCAATAATGATTAAATTTAACCTCCTGTTTTAGGCAGCAGTTTACCAGATAGTGGGAGCAAAGAATAAAGCAAAGAGATAGTAGTGATTTTTATACTACAGGTAGTCCTTGGTTAACGACCACTCATTCAACAATCATTCACTTACAACCATTCACTTACGACCAGTCATCAGAATTCCAGCCACCCCCATAGTCACGTGATCACAATCCGGGTGCTTGGAAACCTGCTCACACTTATGATGGTTGCAGTGTCCCACCATCACATGATTGTCATTTGCAACCTTCCCTGCCGGCTTCCTGCAAGCAAAGTCAATGGGGAAGCTGGCAGGGAAGGTCACAAGTCACTCCTGTAAGTCGCTCCTGCTCCCACTGGTTTTTCTCCAAAGGAGCTTGACTACGGAGTACAAGATCCCAGGGATCTCATACTCCATAATGCATACCCACCAGGAGTATTCCCCCCCATACTCCATAGAGCACACCCGCATGCCTTTCCACACTCCACAGCAGCCACACCTGGCTGGATGTGCTCACGCTGTGGCAGCCACCTGCACACCCTCCTGCATTCCACAGCTGCCACTCCCTGCCTGGCCACACTCCATAGCACTCACCCACCCACTGGCCTGCTTGCAAGCTGCCTGGGGCTTGCTACTTCCTGCTGGCTTTCCATTGACTTTGCTTGGAAGTCAGCAGGAAGTCGCAAGTCACAGTCACGTGAGGTCCTCGCTTAATGACCTGCAAAGCTTGCTGGAGATGGCAGTGGGGACTGCTAGGATTGCTGTCGCTAAGTGATGCGGTCACGTGACATTGCTCTTTATGACTGCATCGCTTAACAACGTGAATTCTGGTCCCAATTACCATAGTTAAGCAAGGACTACCTGTATGATTGTGGTCTTCTAAAGGAAATTGGATGGATTCAAGGCACTACAAACTCTGAACCTTGGATCTGAAAAGTGAAGGCAGGAATACCAGAGGTTTCTATGTGTAGAGAGTGGGGGTAAGCCTCTGGAGTAGAGATGCAGGGAGGAGAGTAAAGGAGCCCCAATTCAGGGACTGATAGTGAAGGATTTGAAGGTAATCTAAAGGTCAGAGGAGCTGGTTTCCGTCCAGCTGGTTTCTCAGTGCAGCATGATCAACCTAGAGTGGAGGTTGTGGGGGAAGACATAGGACCATGGAAATCTCATATTACTCCCCAAAGTAACTCTTCAAACTGGGCAAGCTATGAGGAGTTTTATCTGGTGTTGAGTCAACAAGGTAGACTAGAGGGACTGCTGATGTATCACTTGTTTTACTGTGCAAGAGGCATCCTCACTGAGCTGCCTTAGGTGGACTCAGGTATGGTATTGGAGAACTCTAGAATAGTAGTCCTGGGAGCTTTAGCATTCATTCTGAAGCTGTCCTAAAATACCCAGTCCAGGATTTCATGGCTTCCATCATAGCCATAGTTCTTTCTGAAACTATCACTAGACCAATGCATGAGGTAATGGTTTCAGTTTCACCTCAGGATCTGAAGAAGTAGCCAACTTCATTATGTAATGAAGTTTGATTTTATGGTGCGTCCCTCTTCTGCATTAAGATCTCCCACCCCTAAAATCTGGTGAATTCTTGAATACTCTGGAGGACTTTTCTTTTTTTTTTCAAACAATTTTATTAAGAATTATAAATGAAAAGAATAAAAGCCAATACAGGCTACAAAAAATACAAACAGAAAAATACAAAAGAAAAGAAAAAATGTGAAAAAGGAAAAGGAGAAAGAAAGAAGTAACTTCCCCCTTCATCCGGGCAAGTAAAGACAATTTTAATAGCTTATCACTGTCTCTAAATACAACATAATCTCTCTTTACCCCATATATTATCTATTGAATTAAAAAACAAAACAAAATCCAAATGCTTCATTAGTCGTTCTTTGTCAGCAAAAGTCCAGTAAGAGCAGCAGATATAACTATTTTTCTCCTTTAGCCTTGGTCCAATAAGCCAACCTTGTATTCCTTCCCTAAGTTTTTAAAAATATCTTTTGACCCCTTCAAAAACAGTCCCAGAGTTAGTTTTCTGTTCATCTGTGTTTCAAGCCAAAAGTCTTTCAGAACTTTAGCAGATTTCTTTTGTATATCCAATAAGTAAAGTTTGTCCTTTTGTTTGTCACTTCTAGTAAAGTCCTTCAAAACCTTAACAGAGCTCTTTTGTATATCCAGTAAAATCTGTCTGTCTGTCTGTCTGTCTGTCTGTCTGTCTATCTATCTATCTATCTATCTATCTATCTATCTATCTATCTATC